AACATTCGCAGACGTCTTCCTTTTCGAGAGCTGGAACAGAGCATTGGTGAATAGAATATAACAACCTGGCTTTTGTAAGCTAATTGCATGGCTTCATGAGGCTGATTATGCCAGTGGTTCACTTCTATATCGCACTTATAGAAGAAAAAATCAAATGGCCCGTATACAACCGACAGTGACAATGACTACCTGACAATGATGAATTGCTCAAACACAACAAAGGAACAAATACTGAACATGCAAAGAATGGAGGAAATCACGCATTATCCACGGTCCATTAGACACAGCTGTTCACACAGAAATGTCAGTGGAATGTAATGTAGTTTAGCCAAATATGAAGACACGGCCTCTCAATCAAAACACTATTAGAAAAGCAACATTACAAAAGAAATGCATTATTACTTATTTGTCATTTAAATATGTAACATAATAAACCCTATTTGATCATCTGCATAATAAAGACTGATGTGGATTACTGGTCTGGTCATATTTATTTGACAGTGCAGGCAACATAAGCAAACCATAGGAATCGTGAGGGAAAATCCATGAATCTCACAATTTAAATTGAGAAAACGGTTCGAACTTTGACAGAAAGTTTTGTGTTGGACCACGCGGCTCACTGTAAGACGCCGACTGAGAAAATAAAGATTCACGGCCTTCAGCGCAAAACCATTGGATAGCGTTGAACAAAAAAAGAATTGTTCAGGTGTCCCCAACACACCTATGCACTCTGCAATATCATACAAAACTGTATTCATGATGAGGCAAATTGTACCGATGATTTAAAGTAAACCTCAAAAGTAAAATTCATATGCCTAGAGAGATGTGGCGTCCTGCTTCCAACGCAACAAACCCTCAACTACTGAGACACAATGTTTCCTGCAGTTCTCAGAGGAATCACCTGCCGAGAAAGCCCATCATGGGGCCATTTTCGGCATTCATGAGCATGATTGATGACACAGTGATGGAAGCGGCATTTTGAGAAATTCCCTCTTCCACGGGGTAAAAATGATGATTGTTCGGATTCCTCCTCCCTGATAGTGCCCCCCACTGCTCCTCAGGGGGAGGCATTCCCATTATACTGTCTAGAAGAATGCAGCCCTCAAATACTGCCGCAGCCGTATCTAAACTCCAACAATGAATGCCAATTCCCCCCCAAAATTCAAAAGTCTGCAATTTCATCAAAAATATGTGTGTGGTTAGAATCCGTAGACACACCAAGAAACCCTCCAAAAGTTCTGGTTCCTATCTGGACCACTCCCGGATCAATCTCCACACGTGTGTAGAGACCCAGGGAGGTCATAATAATCTCACGATACATCACAGAGATACAAAGACTGTCACCTGGCCATTCTCTGTGAAAGCACTCCCATTTAGCCCTTTTTATTTCCCCATTAAGTGACAATAGGGAACCCGTGCACATTACACGCCTCAGCGCTGATGGTTGGCCTTGTTGTGCAGGCAGCGAAGTATCACACCGTTATTTCTGTCCCATCACCATCTGCAGTAAACAGAGCAGGCCATCAGATGATGGCATGGAATGTGACATGCTAAGACGTGCCATCGAATCCAGCAGTTTGCTGTGTGACTCACGTCCCAGATCTTCCTGTCCCATCTCCGACATTGAGTAATCCACAGAGGGGAACCTGAGTGGGGGTCTCTTCATGAGTTGCAGCATTGGATTTAAGAGGATGATATTTAACAAATTGGTAAACCGGTTGAATCAAGGCTAGCGTTGGCGAGCTTGAGAAAATAGATAGAGAAAATGAAAAAATCTTCCAAAAAGAAAACCGTCCCGGTGTCTGTTCCAACCGCTGCTCCAAAAGTCGCCAAGGGCAAGAGAGAAAGTCCAAAAGTCCCTCACCCCTCCCTCCACAGCCAATAGCCCAATGTTATTACAATCAACACAATCCGGATTAATGTAAACAACATAGCTATTGGTAGTGCTATTGGCACTCACAGCCTTCAGCTTGTGGACCACTTCTGTGACGCACAATGAGCGCGTCTGGACAGATGAAATGATTTGATGGGTTTGTTACAGTCCTTTTTTCGTCAGCACATTTCATTAACTGATGGAAGCTGCGACAACGTAACGAGAATGTCAACAAGCACAACCCAAAAATGTATTTGAACACTCCCAGTCCTAGATTTAACTAGATTGGAATAAAATCTGCTGCAGGAACATTTTAGATGCACTATGACTATTAGAGCAATCCACAAGTTCATGCTCCGGAGGTTTAAAACGCCTTCCCCGTGTACCGTTGACAGCCTCCTGTGTGGGCTCGTCAGCTGGGAGAAATATCGCCTTAGTGCTCTGGAATTACTGTAACAAGTGAGCCTTTAGGCTCTGGATCAAAACAACATTTCTGTCAATAACACCAACTCCACTGCTGTCATTCCACCTGACCGGGCCGCTTCCGTTTGACCAAACATAACAGCAAAAATATGGGGTGTGAGTTTTTCATTTTCAGCAGGCTAAGTGGTTTGCGCAACATTCCTGCAATAATATCTTGCTTATTATTATTTTTTTGTTTGTTTATTCACTCTTTTTGACCACAGCTGTAATGAGGGCTTTGGTTTGGCCAAATTTCATGCAATATAATCATAAAGAGAACAACTCATTTGAATAAAAAAGCATCAGAATCAAACAAATAGCATTATGCAATTTAATGCTGTAATCTCAGATATCGACAGAATTGAACAGATTAAACAGCAAAGAGCGACTGTTTAACATGGAGCATGTGCACTACTAAAATGACGCTTCCCTATATTTGGTGCAGCTGTGGCTCAGAGGGACAGTGAGTCGCCCTACAATTACCGGACCGGCGGTTTGAAACCCGACTCCTCCAGGATGAGCCGCTGTGTTCTGGGGCAAGACCCAGAACCCACAATGTAGAGGAGCAATGTGGAGGAAAAAATTCATTCCGACCCGCTATTGAGTCTTTACGAACTGAAACGAAGAATAACGTCAGACCATCAACATCTTGCAAGAAGAGGCACAGTTGTACAGAGTCACAAAGAACAGACTTCATGCAGAGTTATAAAGCGTGCTCAAGGGTGGGGGCCTACTGGACCATCCTCAGGGCATATGTGAACATACAATAAGTACTTGTTATCCAACACAATAGAGGAAGAGGACCTGTGCATATGCAGTCAGCTGAATGGGTCACGATGCAAGCATATGATGGTCTGTAACACATAAAGTTATGAAACAGTTCTATTTTATAAGAATAGAAAATATGAAATAGTCAGTGACGTTTTATTAAATATTTGAACCCATTTTAAACGTCTTATGAACAGAAAACCGCTCACTGGGCCAATTTCCCATTTGAGGCTAAAAGATGCCACTTGACTGAAGGTCCTACACGTCCATTTAATGTTTTCTTTGTCTAATTTTCAGTTCATTTATTTAGTTTAACTGCTGAGTGTACTAAATAACATAAATATGTGATAATTACCAACAGCTAATGGGTCATTTATCCCAAAAAGAAGAAATTCTTATATCCGCAGTAGAATCAATGGAATTCTAATTTACATGAAAAAATCATCTCAACAATATAAATCTTGCTTGCGATACTTTTTCATCAAAAGATGTTATGCTTTATAATGAACTCTCAAATACTTTGGCTTGGCTTTATTATCGTTCGCATGAGTGAGAGGCAATAATACGTGCCCCTGAAGGTCGTGCCAATCACTGGGTGAATGTGCTGAGGAGTTGATAACGCGTGGTCGCGTCTCCGGCCGACCCGTGAGGTTATGACTCATTCAAAGACCACATCGAGAGACGTTTCCTCGGGGTGACAACCCTCGGGAGATGAGAGAGATGGCATTTTTTCCCTCATTTGGCAGATTAGTTGTGATGTCAGAGACATGGATCCAAAGGATTTAATCGGTTAGGTAGTCAACTCGACGCTGAACAGGTGCGCCTCTTATCAGATATGCAGCCTTCTGCGTGTGCCAGATTCCCTGCTTTATAGAGACAACGGCCCTGAAGCGGAACAATGACGACCCGGAGAGACAACTCAGAAAAAAAAAAACTTTCATTCCTAATTACTTTTCTACAGATGCAGACATACAGCATGCTGCGTATTCTACCTTTAGTGATTTGCAATCATTGAATACTAAAATGCATTTTTTTTCTGATGTGAGGAGTTCACGAAACACAATCAATTTATACCCAGATACGAAAATGCATGTTTGGAATTCTGATGTATTTTATTTGGCTGACACTAAACATTATAAGACCTTTATCCTTTAAATGAATGACATTCATGATGTGTGATGCTCAAAGGTCCACACCTAAGGGTAGCGGGAGGCTGACATTATGCCAAATTAACTCATTTTTATGGACTGCTACTGAAGCACCGCAGGGGGCCAGCAGCTCCCCCTCCCCTCATCACTTAACTTTCGCCTGATAGGAGCTAGTCTGCACAGTTAGTATCATTAATCTCTGCTTGGTTACAGGTCTCAGGCTGTGGGACTCTACACGTTGAGTACCGGTGCCGGCTGATATCGCAGCACGAATACATAAGCAGTGACCCGGCTCACATTAACAGACAGCCCGAAAGGAGGGGGGGGGGGTCACTTCAATGACTCAAGCTGGGTGCACTGGGTTCATGGGGGAGAGGCGCACAGCCTGTTTGCCATCCAGTCAGGTGAACTGTGATTATTTTGGGGTAATTGAGTACAGCCTATATAAAGTTATATAGCCACCACAACTTTGCTCAGTTAAGACAAGTTGGTGAGTGGCAGGTGGTTCTGAGAGGCCACCCTTTGCAGCACTCAACCAAAGACCTGATCCTGTAATGACTGCATCATGAATGAGGTGCCGTGGGATATCAGGGGGGGGATTTGAACGTTGCCCATCGAGTGCTTCACGCGACAGTTAAATCGCACGGCAATGCAATCGCATTTGTTACACAAAAAGGCCTGTGATTATTTTCGTTTTACAAAGCTCTATTGTGCAGATGGCGACCGGGTCGCTCTCCGATAAGCCTCACCTGGGATCTCCTGGATGGGAACATGCGCGAAGCTGAAGCCTTTCCCGACGCAAGCCTCCCTCACCTCGCTGCAATTCCGAGCCTTGAAATCTGCCCGTGCCGCAACAGACAGCACAGAAAAAGTGCACATGATGATGTCTAGTCCGAGCATGTTTTCACTTCAGTGGAGAGCCGAGGCGTTTAAGGTCATCTGCCGTATCCTCGCCGGTAAAAATAAATAAAAAAAACTCCCCCGCAGTAGATCTGCAGGTACTTAGGCGATCGGGCGTTTAATGGTTCGAACTCAACTGCGTCTACCGAGACATTGCACAAAGTTTAGAAGAAGAACAACAACAAAAAATCGCTCTTCTTTGGCACCAGATGGAGAGAGAAAAAAAGTCCGCCGGCGCCGCGTGGAACGGAGAATCGCGAGCGTGGAGGTGCGCGCACATGGATCCAGCATCCAGGCGATGTGATTCCAGGCGTGTTGTCTCAACTTCGCCGAGCAGACGAAGCCCCTATACCCCCCCGCACCCGCCCCCCGCCCCCCTCTCCCTCCCTCTCTCCCTCCCTCCTCCTCCTTTGGTCGTTGCGTTGAAAACGCGTCGCCGTGCGCCGGGGAGCGCGCCGTGTTCACACCAGACGCGTCGGAGAGGCGAAGCGGGACACAAAATATGGAGTGGAATCCAGTCTTATTCTGGTGTTTTTTAGCTGCATGTCGGTACTCACAGAAGCGAGATGTTCGTAAGAAATAATAAATAAGAAAAAACATGCATTGCGCCGAGAAGGGAATGTGCGAGCGTGACGAGTCACTTTGTTGTTGGTGCATTATAAACATGTGGTTTGTTCCTCTTTTATATTTATATGAAACATCATTTATTGGGATTATTTGATGTGAGTATACGGATTAAAACTGAAAGCAGGTATTTTCTCTTTTCCCATTCATCTTAATCGCCAGTATCAAACTGTATCCACCCGGATGTAAAAGGTGTGATGAAGAACAGAAGGAGAGCCTTCATGGCCTCATTGATTTTGGAGCAGCTTGATCCGAGGGTAGATCATCAGTGGATTAACGTGGTGGCCAGCTGTGCATAGCAGTGTTCCTATTGCTATGGTAAGAGACATTTTGAAAGGTGCTTAAGTGACTGCCGCAAAGTAGTGGCACTAAAGGTACCCAAAGTCACTGCTTTTAGCAAGTATTGTCTCTGTTGTAATTTTACATAGTTTTAATACATATGTGTGTTGATCTATTCATTGACCACAGGAGCAGATTTCTATCAGAGTGTTTCTCATGTTTCTCTCTCTTAATGCTATATGCTTGGGGGGAGGGAGGGAGGGTTGTGCATGGTATCATTGCATATATTAAAAAAAATGATGGTTAATCTAGCACCCTACAAAAACGTGTGCTTTATTTTGGTTACCCTTTTTGAGCCGATTTAAAATCTGGTCATGCCACCAACTTTAAAAATCAAAGGACGTATTCATCCAAAGTAAGATATTTAATACATCGTAAATTTAATTTGATGGTAAAATCTCAGTTAAGGTAGCCGTCCAGTGGCCTAACTAGACTTAAAAGTGCTCCAGCAAAGGTTTCAATCTGTGTGTGTGTGTGTGTGTGTGTGTGTGTGTGTGTGTGTGTGTGTGTGTGTGTGTGTGATGCACATGGTCTCCCTTTAATACTTTAGCCTTTTGCTAAATGTAATACAAATGTGTGCACATTCTATTTACAAATATGTTGCGTTTCCAAAAGATTCTTTTTCACTCCAGCTCTTTTTTTGGACTCCCACGTACAAATCCCTCCCGTTGGTTCAGAGTTTATCTTTGGGTGTCTTTCCAGCTGGTCGTACCCACTCCTCCAAAGGAAGGTGTAAAGAAAGAAAAAGAGTCACTCACTCAGTTGAAAGGAAGAATACTGGGGATGCATTAGAAATGGAGTTGTATTATCTTGACAAAGCCATTACGACCGGCCAAACAGTGGTGACTAAATCCTCACGTGGTAAATCCCTTATCACTGCAGGATCCATAGATCAGTCTCCATGCTTTCACATCTGTTATGTGAACATATTATCAGCCGCAGGCACACTCTTATGATCCAATAGGTCAAATAGCTTTTCTTTGTAACCAAGTTTACTGTTAATGTAACCGCATAAACCTCCTAAACACCCCCTTATAAAACAAAATAAATAATGAATGTTTTTTTCCTCTTCAAACAACTTCTCATTTAATGTCTAGCTGCATTTTTTGGCATTTAAAAATGTTAATACTTCCTTGGAGACACATGGACGCGCCTTTTGTAACTGCGGCCCCATTCAAATATCTCTGAGATGTTGAAAGAGGCATTTGCATGAGTTGTCTGAAGCTGTGGGGAGACATAACATAACTCCTGCTGTACTGAACAGATGCTCAGAGGACAGGAACTCTTAATCTTCTATAACGCAATGCTGCGTTTCAGCAGAGGCCCCACTGAAAGGGGAACTTAAGCTAAATTAGTAATCGGAGTAATTAGACAGCTCTTGGGTGCAAGGGGGTTACATCAAACCTTGGACTCTTTGCATACCCACCATGCCTGCACTGAGTGCGCTCTTCTTCTCAACACCTGGTGAGTTTTTATCAAATGGCTTTCAGGGCTCCTCTTGAACTGGATTCCTAGACTGCCACCTGAGACAACTTTACGCTGGGTGTCCGTACTGGCAGCATAACAACGTCATCGCTATACGGAGACTGACAAAACTCTCCTCCATGATAAATCATTAATTTTAGGTGTAATTTGCCTCACAAATGAAATACGTTTCATCACACATATTTATTCTTATTCCAGTGCTACGACTGAATGATGTCGCAATTTAAGTTGAAGTGCTGAGTGAAGCGCAAAAGGCAACTGATTTGTCACGTGATGGGAAGAGGTGAAAGAAAAGTGTCAGTGTTCTAGTTGTGAGTTTCCTTTAAAGACGTTCATTAATGAGACAGAGGTGCTTCCTGTTGATAGTCTAAAAACACCTCTTTAAAAACACATCTTTAATTGCAGTTTGTGATCCTATTTAAACATAATCACAACATAATTACTTTCAACGACCCAAATTGCTGTCAGCTGAAATCAAGTCAAGGGATTAATTAAATCAAATCAGTTTTTCATTTTACTGTTGCTTATTTCCTTGTTGCACATTTGACCATCCAGATTCACACAGTCGGGGAATCTGCTACTGTCATGCATTCATTTTTAATTTTATTTGTTCATGATCTTATTACAAAAATGTTTGGATTACAAAAAGTGTTCATGACTCGAACAGATGGTTCTTTTTTTCCAGCTGCGAGTTGACACCTAAAAATGGTTCCGCTGGGTTAATTTTCTGCGCACTATAGACACGATACATATCGTGTGTTAACAAATTACCTGACAAAAATACATCATGTTTTAGTGTTATTTAACACACGCATGGAAATCGGATTTTCCTTACATACCCTTTTTAACACAGGAGAGAAAGCCATTTAGGTCAGACTTTAAAAATGGATGATTGGGCTTTTGGTTCTCACTTGTCACTCTGGGCTGTCACATGGCCGGCTGTGAAAGGAATGTGACATATAACTGCTGTACACCTACTTGAGTCAAGGCAGTTCATGTGTATCCTCCACTTCTGGGGGGCTTGTGGACATTTCATATTTTAACAAACTAAGAAGGTGGTCTCCTAAAGTCCTCTTTGAAATAAGACAGAAAACATGCACATCTGGTAGAAGAAGAATACTTTTAAACTGTAAGGTGTTGATTTCAACTGAGCCAACTATTCTGACTCCTTATGTCACAAATCAAACGTCTCATTTTTAATGCACATCAACATACAAGGGTTTAAAAAAAAAGGCACGAGTCATACAACTATTTGTCTTTATCAGCATCCGTGTTCTGTAAAATACGGCCAGAGAGGCCGCAACCGTTCCCCACAAGCCCGAGGCGGGAAGACTCTGAGGACGTGTTGGTTACTCATTCTTCCTCACCTCAGGAATGGTGCATTGTGTTAGAAACAAACATGTCTTCGGGCCATGTCTTGGGCCGAGTACAGTATGCAAACACCAAAACACATTTTCCATGATAAATCCTCTGTGTCTGCAACGGTCGACCTGTTCAGGCAACACAATCCAAGGCAAAATGTACTGGGTTTTGTGAATCTCAAAAGCAAAAAAAAATACATTTGCTCGCTTACAAAAGTCCCAGCTTTAAATCATCATCCTTTCTAACCTCATACAAAGTAAAGCCCAATCTCCTCCACCTGGGACCCGCTGATTTGACAATGAATTTGCCATCTCCTGGTATTGAATAGCAGTCTATTCAGAATGTGGCCCACCGCCACGAGAAGAATTCTACCTGACAGACTCCCCAAACACTCGCAAACAGCCAAGGTGAAGCAATAAAACAAGGTAGATTAGCACATACAGATAAGTGTCCTGTCATTAGACCTGACCATTTCAGGGATTTATCTGCGGTCTGGCTCTACCAGTCCGGTCGTGCCTTGTTCACGGTATAATTGTTCAAAGACTATGATTTGTTCCATGTTCAAACACTCATCATCAACATTCATCATCATGAACTTTTCATTAAAATGCTGTATGCTTTTGCAAATATATTAATTAAACATGTTGTGACAGTTGAATGTTGAGTAAATGAGAGTTTACTCCTTGCAATTACCCTCTACTACTAGTAGAGGGTAATTCTACTACTAGTTTTACATGCAATATGCTGACTTCTGAGGAACAGCTTTAAAACATTGCAGGTCACAAAGTTACATGAATCCATCAATAAAATCATCCGGTTATAAAGGAAGATACATTCCATTAACCTGCTCTGAGAATAGATGTTTAAAGTTTAAAGGGATTTGTTTTCAACCAACAACATGTTACTTCGTATCTGCATTAGAATCTTCACAGGATTAATTAATTCTACTGATGTTCACCAACACCGATTTAATATGCTGTGCAGTCCTTCAAGCTCTGCCCCGTCCCCCCTCCCGGGGCATCTAATGCAGCATCATGAATCAGTGGCAGATACTCTCAGATGAAACCTAAGTCGATGTCAATGGTATGTCTGAAAAGCAGAAATGATACAACACATGTCCGATTTCTTGATGTCAGTTGCTCACGATGACTAAAAAAAATACATATGATTTAAAACGCTGCTTGTAACTATTAGTCGGACACAAATGTCAATAGTAAATGAATTGAATAGGAGTTCATGTTTTCTTTCCATTCACACTCATTCATCTGCTCACAGTTGCCTTTTATGGTTTTATAGCTGTCTATTAAAGGAAAATTAAACTCAAACTATGTTTGGTTGTGCCCTTGTCAATGAAGACACAACTGTTTCTCTTGGGCGTTATGGCCTTTCTTTTACAGTAAATAGAGAAACAGAAGTTCGTCGGAACAACAACAAACATTTTCCATAAACCACGCCAGTTTTTATTTAAACACCTGATATTATTTTGAGAGATTGATTGATGGGATTTCTGATGTTGGG